ATTGATCAATACCTATCTAAATGTTAATCATTTGAAAACATTTTGGCCAGCGCTTGGGAACTCAAACAATCCAATCACAGGATGATTAGGGTCTTCTCGTCTCCGCTACCCATTTCATTAATGAGTCGGTGCATCAATATATCCTCCTCGCAAACACCATATACTCCGCGTCGTTACTGCTAAGGGCGACACTTCGCTGCTTTTCAGAACGTCAATAAACTTGATCCAAGGCGATTTGTTTTTACCCTTGTCACGACCACACCCTGGCACATCGCCAGGCGGGCGTTGTCAGACTTGAGCATTAGAGTCCTGCGACGAGGAACGGTGGCCTCGGGGGGAAATAAGTGTAATCCCAGTGTGCCTTTTCCAACTGGGCAGGTCCTGGCGTGAAGAACGAGCTGTCGATCGGTTTGTGGTTTCAAGAGACGTTGTTCTGGAGAGCCCAGCGGCTATCGGCGAAGTCCCAGAACAGAAACTGACCGAATCCCCGAGTGCCAGAGAGCAAACTACCAGGAGTCGACCGGTTGAGGCATTCAAGAGACATTGTCCTGGAGAAGCCCGGCGGCTTAGCAAGCCAAGTCCCTGAACCTCGAACCTCAAGAGCCTGAGATCACGAAGCACCCAGCCTCACAGCAAGCACGACCAGGTGCAGAGCAGTGGATAATGGCGGCAGTAAGCATCATCAGCAGCCACATCAAGACAACTGCGTAAAACTCATCAAGTAGCGCAGAAACGCCGCGGACGACAAGCAATAGTATGAGGTAAGGGTGGGACGTTCGTCTGCACTAGGCGTAAAGCGCAGTTAACTGCCAGGCAGCTTTCTGGCGTAATCCTTGACGGCGGTCGTTGTTTCGAAGGCGTTGCCCTGGAGAGCGAGGCACCTGTTCACCCTAATTTCGGCCCGCGCGGCCGATCTCTCTGCGAGTCCAAGGCGAGGCAAGCGACTTCGAGTCAACGCGTCGACGAGCGAGCACAGGTGGGGGACAACAGGAGCATTTCAAGACATAGGAAGGTGTACGGAGTCAGCGGTCAACGAGTCGAAGAGCCACATCAGTACTCACTGCAGTCATCGCGTAGCGACACCGATGCCATCCGATCCACCCACCCGCTTTAATAAGTCAACCCAAAATAAAATTCTGTGCTATATCAGTGATGTACGGAGCAGTCACATCATATTAATTCGGTGGCACGAACACACAATCTACTGATCTAGCCGAACGAATCTCGTAGAGAGCTTATCCGAGCATATCATTTGAAACCTCCATAGCTAATACACCTTCTTGAAGCCATAAATGTATATGTTTGTTAAAAATGATCAATAATGCCATCGTAAAATAAGCATTTTATTTATATTGTTATGTATTGAGTTTATATCAAAAAGTTAACTTCCCATACTTAGCTATAAGAAAAATAAACAAATATTCTCTTTAACTCTGGGGTATTGCGTAAAATTTTTTGAAAATGTCAGTTAATTGTATCATATAGCTGTCACAGGAATATATGTTTATACCCGTTACTCGTAGAGTAAAAGGGTACAATAGATTCGTCGGAAAGTATGTAACAGGTAGAAACAAGCGTTTCCGATTCCATAGCCGAGTCGATCTAGCCATGTACGTCTGTCTGTCCGTCCGGATGAACGCTGAAATCCCGGAAACTATAAAAGCTAGGCTATTGCTATTTGGCATGCAGATTCCTGAGCTTCTTGCGCAGCGCAAGGGTGCCAAGCATACTCTAACGCCCGTAAACCGCATAAAACTGTGGCTCCTACAGCTTTGATGCTAGAATACAAATTTTAACTGAAATGTATCATCAATACCTATCGATTGACCCAAAAAAAGGGTTTCCAAGCCCACTTCACCGCCCACATAACCATATATTGGGATCGCAGGTAGGTAGCGCATTTCAATCTCGCTTTGCTACTTGCATATCTTTATTTCCCTTTGGTCCCTTTATCTGAGTAACGGGTATCTGGCAGTCGAGGTACTCGACTATAGCGTTCTTCCTTGTTGTTGGGGCGGTGCGGCTTGATCGATGAAATAGTTGAAGCCCCAAGATTGATTGGTACCCAAAAAACACGGGAGTACTTTTGGGGTTTTTACGCGACGTGCTTAGATGTTTATTGGATCACTTTGAAATAAGAACTGCTTTAGCCTAACTTAACTTAAGCGCTCCAGAGCAAAGCGGTGACTTAAGGGAGAGATGGAGAGGGAGAGCGGACGGCAGTGCGAGCGCGCGAGATGTATAAATCTGCCGCTCGACACTGCCTCCTGAAATTAAACGCCCTTTTAACGTAAACATTCTCCCCCCCCCTTGCGAGGACACCCGTAGCAAGAACCTCAGGATAGTAGGCTCAGGAATATGTTGGAAGTATAGATCGGTCGTCCGTATGTAGGAGAGTGTGATGGTCCTTTCCACACTTGTGGCAGTGATGACCACTGCGGCAGGAGTCCTTGGTATGATTGTGAGCCAAGCAATTGGAGCAGTACTTCTGGATATATACTTCCTGAATCTGATTCTGGGGGCTTAGCTGTAGAAAGTGGTGGCACTTCCGTAGAGGATGGATCTTTTGGCAGACTCGGCATTGGTAGGATTTAATACCTCGAGTACGTCTGCCATTCAAGGTGGGGTATGGAACCCAATATTAGGAGGGACTTTTTGTACGGAAACTTGCGTTGAATAGGACGAAATGATGTGTGTAACTGAGGCGGATACTGGCCTTGGAGGGTCGGATGGAATCGGCGGAGTAGTAGGACCGCTGTTTCAATGCAGCAATGTGTGATGCCGATCCTGGCAAGTGAGACAGTTGTGAGCGCTTGTGCAATCCCGGAATTGATGGCTGCTTGCAAAGCAATTGGAGCACAACTGCTTCCTTTGAATATAGGCTAGGCGATCGTCTACCGTCATTTGTAGGAAGCGTGGACATATACGCACAGGGTGGTTCTTCTTCGAACACAGATCACAGCCTTTGGGTATCGGAACTAGCCTTGTGTTGAAGGAATTTATTTTTGGAAATTCTGCCACTCGATTTGTGTATTTGGACTGGACGTGGTGGAAATTGGCAGATCGGAAGCTACCGACGGCCTCAAGAGTTCGATGGCGCTCCGTCAAATAGGAATCAAGCTCAAGCCACGTAGGAATTTCGGCTTTATTTTGGATGGATTGCTCCCATAATGAGAGAGTGAGCTTTGGTAGCTTTGTCGAGCACATATAAACCAGGATAGGGTCCCAATTCTCAATATTAACACTGGAAAATTGTAAGGAAGTTAAGCAACCTTGAAAAATGCGTTGAAGTTTTTTTAAGGCTGCACCCGACTCCTGTGCTATGGATTGCACATTGAAAAGTGTTTTTAGGTGACTGTTCACCTGCAATCGCTTATTTTCGAAACGCTCAGTTAGGTTATTCCAGGCTGAGCGAAAGCCATCATTGGTGAGTGGGGATCTTGAAACTATGGAATGAGCTTCGCCACTTGTTTTTGAATTTAAGTGGAATAATTTTTCAACGGGCGTTAGACTCGGATTGCCTATGTATATTTCCGTAAAAAGGTCCCGGAAAGGCCAGCGAATATAATCGCCAGAGAAAACCTCTGTGTCGATAGGAGGGAGCCGACAGCCATAAGACGTGGAATTTTAGGACGGACTTACTGGAGCTTGAGGTATTTGGGAGGAGCCCTTTTGGATTTGTTCCATCAGCTGCGCGGAAAATATTTCGTAAGTGGAGTACGTTTGGTAATACTTGGACTTTAGTATGGATTTTGTGTCTGCGGCGCTCTCGCCTGCAGCTATAATGCAGTCGGAGCATATATCGTATGCTGCCTTTACCGTTTGCCACAAGGAATTGAGGTGATCGCGACGGATTTTATAGGCGGATAACGTTGGGGTAGGAGCACCATCGGATGGTCGGACTTATGTAAAGAATTACGGACTTTAATATTGTATGTTTGGAAGGCACGTTTATTGTGAGCTCTTGAACCACTGTGCACTGGCGAAAATATCGATATACTGTACATATGTACATATGTGGGGTGCGAATAGCGGAATAACGTTGCGAGAATTGGAAAGACTTCGCTTATGTTTGTATGTCGGTGCGTTTGTTTGTCACCTGCACAACTAAATTGCAAACGATTTGCTGGAGTAAATTTGTGGAATTTGTAACTTTGTTTTTAATTTTAGAAATAGATTAGCCGTATTTGTAGTTCGAGAAAAGTAGTTGGAGTGGACTGTATTAGAAAGAGTAGTTAAAGTGGACTGCACTAGAATATTTATGTAAATATACACACGCAGCTGGAACACAGTAAAAAATAAAGTGTGAAAATCCGAAGGAAAAATTTTATGATCGGGAATTTTTTACTGTGGCTGAGTTATATTTTACACACAATTGTAATTGAAAATATATTTGAGAAATATTTTAGGTGAATAGTAGCACTGAAATATCTTCTGGAATTTTTTTAAGTGTGCAACTGTGGGCAAAGGAAACTGGAATATTGTCGGGCACAAGTAACGGATTTGAAATACATATATTAAATGCCGTTGCGTCGAATTAATCACTTTTGAATTTAGACAATATATCATACAGAAAGTTAGTCAAAATAGGGTTTGAAAAAACTGGCTGTATGACCGGCAATTAGTAAGTGGAACTTATCTGGAGCGTTTCAAGCCTGCTGAGACAAAATCAAAGAAACTCCAGGAGCGGAAAGTCCAAAGATTTTGAAATCCGGCTTCGACTGGACAAAAATGTTGAAGCCCCAAGATTGATTGGTACCCAAAAATCACGGGAGTTGTTTTGGGGTTTTTACGCGACGTGCGTAGATGTTTATTGGATCACTTTGAAATAAGAACTGCTTAAGCCTAACTTAACTTAAGCGCTCCAGAGCAGAGCGGAGACTTAAGGGAGAGATGGAGAGGGAGAGCGGACGGCAGTGCGAGCGCGCGAGATGTAGAAATCTGCCGCTCGACACTGCCTCCTGAAATTAAACGCCCTTTTGACGTAAGCACTTGTTTTATACTAAGATTCCGCATATACTGTTTCTAAGCGCACATTGTATGATTTTAATTGCATGATAGCATTTAAGCTGCAACGGTATATCATCATTGGCTTCCCGAAGCTAGCTTCTCTTTTGTTTTATTAAATGCCTAGAGGGACATTCTTTATTTACACGCCACAGAAGAATGGTTATATTATTTGTGTGTGATAAACCCTGAATTTCACATCTTGCGTATACAGCGTGTCTCGCCTCACATGTTACGGAGACCGTGATACAAATTTGCCATGGAAGACGGCGATGCAACCTGGCGGCAGACGCGAACACATTTTGAAGCCCTTGCCAACCCAACTCTCGAATGTACTTAAAGGTTGTTTATACATGCGGTAGGTGAGATACAAAGGTCAAGCTTCATCTCTACATACTAAATTAAACTTGGGCAGTCAGATGCCGATTAATATTCAATTTATTTCCGTAATTTCAATTGCGGTTCCTCTCTTTGTTGCTCCTGTACAGTGCCAAAACAAGTTCTTAAAGATAGCAAGGAGTCGGAAGTAGAGCCTGACAAAGCTGAGGACTTAGACGGCGATATGAATGATCTCTACGACGATGAGCTGATCTACAAGGAGTCAGAAGCTATTCCCAAGCTATACAGCAATACAACAACGGCAAGACGCGGTAATGGCACCAGCTCAGCCGGGTCGGGGTCCAGTGCTAACGTGTCGAGCAACCAGACCATAATGAACAGATCCCAGGTTATAGATGGCGATAAAAGTGGCGTGAATCCTGTGATGACACACAGTGCTGACCAGAGTCTGGAAGGTATGCCATTTAAAACAACAAAAAGTTCGTAGACAGACTGTAGACCTATTTAACGATAAAACAAAAGAGAACGTTATACTCGAGTGCCTCGACTGTCAAATACCCGTTTATCAGCTAGACAGCTTTAAATTAAATTAGTCTAACATACTTGAAACTTTTAAACTCTTCAAAGCGAAAGATTTCGGTTTCCACAACTGGCACCCCCTAGCGGGTATAACTTTAGATGCTTATACGTTTTAATGAGTGGCCCGACTTCAAAAATTTTTGGATCCGTATTTTGGATGGATATATTACAAATTATTATTTTATTTTTATTGAAATTTTAAACTTACCAACGGGTATCTGGTGGTCGTGGCACTTGACTATAGCATTTCGTCTTGTTTTTTGGTCATTCTTTCCGCGGGAACTATAATCACAAACAAGGCAAAAGAGTACTTGTCCCTAGGGAACAATGCCTCTTATTTTCATATATTGTTTCTTATATATTTCCACGCCCAATATCGATCCACTTTTATTCGATGTTTTATTCTAACAGAGGACCAGGAACGTTTATATTTGTATCTTATTGTCTTGGGCTCACTGGGAGTGGTTTTCTCTATAATCATTTTCGCAACTAAGCTAGTGCTTCAAAAGCGCGATCTTACTACTGATGCGCACTTAAGCTCCTTGGCCAAAGGAAGGGATAGAGCAATTGAGGAGACAATTATCCAGAGCGGTTTAAACGATACAATCTCAGAAATAGACGCCGACATTGACATTAAAACTCCACTGCCCTTACCCAGTGTGTTTAAAAATGAGGTAGGTACTATTGAATAAGAGCCTTCACCGTCCACCCACTTACCTACCCCCACTTAGAACTACCTGACGTACGCTCCAGCTAGTAGCCTTTACGCTGGTTTGTCCCCCAACCAGTTACCTCCGGTGAGTTGCCCAGGACCTGGCGCCGAGCTTATGCCAAATTCAGTTTTAATGGCGGGTCGTCAGTCACCTGACCTCATCGGTGTAGCGCAGGGACCTTTTGTCACCACGAGTGTTGGCAGTGCAGGCGGTCAGGGTCCAGTAGCGGGCATTCTGACCTCAGCTATTGTGATTGGAACTAGCGCCCCCAGTAACAGTCCAATAAGTAAGTAATCTCACCGGTGTACTTCGATTGTTATTTCAATGTCGTTTTCTCTTGAAAGGTCCAATGGTACCCATTACCTCGCTGGACCCGTATACGAGTGCGCCTTCAATCAGTGGTGGGTATATCATTAACCCCGACAGCATAAGTGTGCATCAACGGCAGAAGAGCACCCCAACACCGGCGTCCTTGTTGACTAGAAGCTCGCCAGCGCACCAACCGCAACCGCCGCTAGTGAATGTCAGTTCACAAAATAATGTGTCCATACCTGGTCAGGGCACATCGACATTGCGACGGGCAAAGCCAAGTATTTGCAGCCGCATCTTTCATATGACGGCACCGCCCCACGCACTCTCTCAACCGGCGTGGCCGTTGGCTCACAGTTCTACTACGGATGACAAAGTACATTGGACTGCGATCCCCATGTGTACACCACAGCTTTGGGTGTGGAAATACGCGTGGCTCCCTCAATTGTGGCAGATCGTTCAAGCGCAATTGAAAACTTTGCCGCATCTTAGCCATTGACTTCGGCAATGCCAAACTCCTCAAGATTATTGGAAAATTTCAAATGAGGCGTAAGGGACAATTCGAAGAAAAATTTCTGCTGGCGTTTTCAGCTATAAGCTAATCCTAGATCCAAAGTGAAGATGGCTGTTATCTAATTACTGCCCCTAGATTGGTACAGATGCAGTTTTAAACATGGAAAAACACCGGAAAATGAAGAAAGCTAATAAGTTAATTCAATTTCCACATTCTCTAAAAAACTTTTAAGACAATGTCGATGGCTCTAAAAACGGAATATATTTTGACAAAATGTTCAGGTTGTTTTCGAAAAGTATTACTTATACTCGCGATAGAAAGAATCAATTAACCGGAAAAGGTTTGCACTGATTAAGCAAAAGCGATTTGTGGGCACGTAGTCACAATTGCTCAGTCCAATTTATACAAGGCACTACTGGTCTCATCCCGAGCACGGCTTGGCAAAAAGCAAATGCATTGTGCACACGATCCAAATTTTGGGGCACTTAACAAAATTCATAACAAAGCGTGTTGTTAAATTAAGATTTTCTATGATCTTTGATTTTATATCATTTTCACATAAATCTATAAAATTTGTTATTTAGCTATGCTTGGTCGGAGGTTTTCTTCAAACTGTCAAGTGCCTTCCTAATTAGTACTTAAGAGTGTAGTTTTCGTTTACTTAAAATTGAGAGTCATCGGAGGGGACGGTGTAGAAGTTAGATAAAAGAAGCCAACCCAATAGATATAAAATTAGTGTATTAAAAATTGTAAATAAGTAGCTTTGTGGATATAATATTCGATTGTTGGAATTTTGATAAAATAACTTCCTGGCATTAGAAAGGGTAAGGTGCAGAGTAGGGAAATATGACGAACTGGCCAAATCTCACATGTGACGTTACGTGAATATTACATACAATTGTAGTCGATTTCTCGTATCGTTCTGACTATGTAATTACACTAATATTATTAAGTTCGTGAGATGTTTTTAACCATAGAGGATGAGCAAAAATTAAAAAACCAATTTATAAGTGTTTCAGCATTGCCAGAGCAAAGAGATTTAGAAAACTATGTGAGACAAATACACTGGTCGGCATTTTTTTTATTTTGACGAAACAAAAGTTAAATACATACATACATACAAAAATTTTTATACTTATATTTTTTATGATTTTTTTGATATGATGATCTCAGAAAAATGTAGTATGAAAAAAGAGAAAAATATGAACCAAATGCAAACATTTACACATTTTTAAAAAATCAGAAAAAAAATTTAGAAAATAAATTTAAAAAAAAAATTTGGCAGTTACTATTTATTTTGTTTATAAAACCTTTTTGCATCAAACATTTTTGTTTTTAAATCGTGGAAATAAGTTTAAAAAGTAGATTTTAAATTTGCTAAATGGGTTAAGAAGAGGCTTGTACCTGGTCGGGTATCATGACACACATTTTGTAAAGTAAATAGATTTAATTCTTCCCGTATGTGTTGACATTATACCGCTAATTTTATCTTTTCTAAAGCCAATAATTAGAAAAAAATACTTTTTGTTAATTTTTGTGATTAAAAAATCAAACAACTGAGTTTGTTTAATTGAAACCCAGAACTAAAATAGACATTTTTTAAGAGTACATCTAAATTTGTAATTCATTTCAACTTTTTTTGAAATAAATAAAAATAGTTTCACATATGCTAGAGTACTTTTGTCTATTTATGAGTTCGATATCTTACACCTACATCTTTAAAAAGTTAAAAAAAAAGGATTCATCAAATCTTGAATTTTACCATCGAACTTCAACAGGAATATTCTCAATAGATGACAGCAACTTTCTGCTTTTAAACTTTAAAAAAATATTTATTTTTGAAAAAGTGGCAATTAAAAAACAGAATCGTTCGTCACCATACTCTACACGGCCCTACAAAAAATTCTGGATGTTAAAAGTTCTTAAATACCGTAATTATTAAAGTGTTTGTACATAAAATTATTATTGTAGGTCGGATTTAAGATGTGAGATAATTCACAAATCATAACTGGTACTCGTAAAAAAATGTTAAATCAAATGGAAAATATTCATAAAATCATACCAATCTTATAAAGGCACATTAACCCAACTAATTAAAGTCCCTTACGATTCATTTAAAAGAAATCAATATACTATATATAGAAATAAACTTTAAATAAATTGTAAATTCACATGCTGATATCTAAATATGTTCCTTCTATTTATATTTATTCATTGGTAAGTACAAAACCTCGAATATCTCTGAAATTTGGTAACAACAATAAGAAGTGTTCCACTCAATGTCAAATTACAAAATATATCCTCTGTTTAAACATCTATAATTCCGGATTTAGTAATCTAATTGACTTCGTTTCTTTTTATACCCTGGCGGAGAGGTATTATTACCAAAGACATAATTTTTTATACCCTTGCAAAGGGTATTCTGATTTCAGTCAGAAGTTTGCAACGCCAGTGAAGAAGACGTTTCCGACCCCATAAAGTATTTCTTAAAAATACAAAAACTGATATTCCCATATTATAAGATAATTCCCTAAACTATTGAATTGCTGAATTGTTGAATTCAGCCGTAATCAGTTGTTCCATACAAAAGTCAAACTTTCACAAATTTCAGCAAATTCAACAGCTTCGGGGGTGTTGAAAATTTTGTTTGAATTGTTGAAAAACCAGAGTTGTCGCTGTTCTCGACTAAAAGTAAGAGGGTAACTCTGGTCACTTGTAAACATGGAGAAATTGCAATCGTATAGAAAAATGCAAATAATGGATGTCTGATAGAAAGCTGCCTGTTAGGAGTTATAATAGTTTAGTTTTTGGCTTATTCTCGGCATTTCCCGTAATTTATACATAATCTTTGGTAAACATATCCTGGCAATTTGACAATCTGACAAACAGCTGACATCTTAAAATAGAAAATTCAACAGGGAACTTTTAGGGTAGTTCCCTTAATTGCTGTTTAGGGAATACCCCGTACATGTCAAAAAACACCGAAGCTATAATTTGTTTCAGATTATTTTCCCACAAATTTTCAGATCAATCCTATGGCAGCTAAATGATATAGTCGTTCGCTTTTGATAAAAATGAATTCAAAACTAATTCAAAAATGTTATTTCCAAGCGTATGAGGTTATATGTTAAAAACACCAAAGATATAATTTTTTAAAATAT